TCCATACCAACACCAATCAGCATCAGGAAATGCAAATTACTAATAAGCCAAACTCTTGGTTTTCATATCTTGGGTATTTACTTATTATATTCTATATACTTATATTATTTATTTTAAGAGGAAGTAGGTTTTTGAGACTTAGTAAATCTTGAAGAGGACTTCTAGTCATCTCTTCTCTCATAGGGTGAGGGAGGACTGATAGATACATTTTCTTAAAATTTTTCCAATGATATACAATTTACGTCTGCCCAATTACTCATCAGCGGTATTGACAGTGTGGCGTAGGGGTAAGGTGTCGAAATTATAGGCTGTGCCATTCGGTTTAGACTCCCAGACTAGGTTGAAACTGGACTCTAGCAGAGATGGGATTACTTCTTTGGATTCAAGGCAAAGCAAACTTCACTGGAAACATGCTGCCTACTCATAACATTGTGGAAAAATTCAACTTTAATTCCTCTGTATATACCAGGCAAATGATGGTTTCTAAAAATCTCCTTAGGATATGAAGACCAAGATGGTGTGGTCGCAGTCTTCTTTCGTTGTATAGAGGTTGTCTAACCTTGTTTTCGCAGCTTGATCATATTGGTAGGAAGACTTAGAGGGACATACCTAGTCCGGAGTCCATTATATGCATGATTATTTCCAAAGTCGGACCGTGGACGTGGTACATTTCCAGACGTTTTGCCAGCATCGTAGTCAGCATCGTCAGTAAGTCTCGCCATTCCTAGCACCACACAACTCGTCAAATAGACAAGTGAAGCCGATCCTTTGACCAAACGTGTGCTAAACATTTGTGGTATCTCTGCCCTGGACTATTCACATTTCCTATATCCCCCTATCACGCCTTCACTGTTACAATTTTTACCGTGTTTATTTCGATGTAGCGTGGTGTGCTCCTTTGAGCGGAATTCATGAAAACCTTTCACGCTCCACACTGTCGTTCTCATCCTTCACCCTTGCACTGGGAATGTTGATCAGAGTCTGCCATATTGTTACACAGTCCTCCTTCCCTAGGTCTTATCATAATCTCTCTCTTGCCCCGTAAGATCCGTCTGCTCTCTCTCTGGTTCACGTATTTCACTCTACCTCTGCCACCCCATCTGTGCTACTCAAGGCGTTATTCGCCCTCCCCTGCGTCTGAGTGACTAATTCGAGGCGAAAGCCTCTGACTAAGTCTCATGATCATGCCTTTGCTACATGGACCACGTCTCTTGTAAAGCCTACTATCAGCCAACTAGCTCCAATCGCCGCCGCGTCTATCCTGTCTCTATCCTTACTACCAAGTCTATGACTTCCCATGCCCTAGTCTCTTGTGTGCCAACCCACAAATGTTGTGGTACTGCTTGCTTTGGTCACACTACATCGAAATAAATACAGTAAAAATTGTTACGGTGAAGGCCTGATAGGAGGATATAGGAAATGTTAATAACCCAGTCCAGAATAAGAGATATCACAACTGTTTAGCACACGTTTGGCCAAAGGATCGGCTTCACATGTCTCTTTGACGAGTTGTAGTGTGGTGCTAAGAATGGCGATACTCACTTATGATGCCGGCGAAATGTTTGGGAATGTACCACATCCACGGTTAAACTTTGGAAACTATCATGCATACAATATACTCGGACTGGGTGCGTTCCTCTAAGTCTTCCTAGCAATATGACCAAGTTGCGAAGACAAGGTCAAACAACCTCTCCTTAGATAAGATTATTTTGAAGGCTTTCATTTCGTATGGAAGTAGATGCTTAAAAGATTTGTAGGTCAATCTCATCATAAGACTTAGTGTTGATTTGAGGCATTTGCAAGAATTCGTCCAAGCTTAGTCCGTCTTCGCCCGAAACATTGGTTGATGTCTCGTGGACTTCATCAACCTGAATAACGTATTAAGGCCAAGCGACTGCAGTACAACGCTAATCAGCCTGCGTCTCCTGGTGAGATTGACCTCCGAATCTTTTCACCATGTACTTCCATACGAAATGACAGTCTTTACAACAATTTGATTCCTTTATCGCTTTATGCGATTTAAGGTGATTAGAACTCATATTTCTATTATTCCCTACTATCTTTTAATAAACCCACTATCTTTTATTATTATTTATTATGAGATATATTCACCCTGGCCTTCCTCGAAATTCACATCTGCCCTGTGACCCAAGGGCACTCGTGGCAATGTGCCAGATTGGTTAACATGTCAGGCTTACATTGTGCACTGTCACGGTTCGACTCCCGCTAGGGGCGTTGATAAGTCCTATGCGATGACGAAATTGTACCCCACCCTGGATGATAACACCTTTTGGGAAAACAAGGCTATGTGAAATTGAATGGAAACGTCATCCTACTCATATCATTGTGGGAAAATTCTACTCCCAGTCTTCCATCACCTTAAACGAAATAGGATGAATACATCTCATATTATTGATTTACTGGTATTTTCGAAACTCTACTTACATACGAAAAATATTATTTCTTAGTTCTTGAAAATTTACTTTCCTGCTTCAGAAATTTAGTGCAGCTTTTCGTGGTTTTGGTCGTCGGGGCCGACCTCCCACACGATTTATGCTTACGCATTCTGACAAAACGACTTTATCCATTTCATCTCACGGGAAACTGACCCGCGGAAGGGGATCTTCTGCTCGGCGCCGTCGTGGCTACGGCTCTCGGCGAGGTGGCAGCAGCCATGGGCGCAATGGAGGCCGACAACGGCGACGTGGACGCCGCCGCCGGGTTGACCGTGATGCTGGTTCAGAGTTTGACACGGACGAGGAACTGGATGACCTTGAATATGCTGAAGTGGAGGCAGAACCCCATTCTGTTAGTGGAGCCATTTATGTTGAACTGGAGAAGCCATTTGAGGCCGCCAGTAAATCTACCCCGGCCACCGCCATTGAAGGTTCGAATGGATTGATGGGCTCCTTGGCTAGGTATACTGGGACTGGGGCGATTGGAAAAGTCCGTCTTCTAGATCCTTCCCAAACATGGTCAGGTTGTGCACGAATGCCGATGGCATCAAATGCAGTATTGGCTACTACGGCGATTGAGGTACGCACTGGAGATATTTCTGTCACACCCTCAGGAGTAATGACACGGCATTCCCTCGTCGACCAAAACATGATAGGTAGCGATTTTTCTGCATCTTTGGCCACCAAGGGGCAGGTAGAAATGGAGGAAGACGAAGGATTGGCGTCCGCTCGACGTGTGCGTAAAGGTGGGCCTAACTATACTTCCTTCCTTCTAACCTCCATTACCTATTCTTCAAATTAAGTTTTTTGTGCCATTTTCATCTTGGTTGTTTAGCCGTGCTAGTATCACTGCTCTAAAATATTTTAATTAAATAAGTATATCTTAAAACTTCACTTATCTCACCTTTAGATCAGGTCTTTATTCTATTTTAGCAAGGGAAGAGTCGAGCCTCTGAATCTAGAGCTTCCTAATTCACTTGAGTGCGTTTAGTAGCTAT